TAGCTGGTGCTCCTTTCCAAGCAAACTTCTACCCTCATAACTGGGAACTTCAATATATGTTTGTTCAGTTGTGTTCATTCGTGTCTGACTCTTCGTTTTCTTGAGGTTTTTTGGGGTTTTCTTGGCAAAGATACAGGAGGGGTTTGCCATTGCTTTCTCCAGCTTATTTTACAGATAAGGAAACTGAGGCAAACAGGATTAAGTGATTTGCCCAGGATCACCCAGCTAGGAAGTTTCTGAGGCTGGATTTGAACTCAGGAAGATGAGTCTTTCTGACTCGCAATCCACTGCACCACCTAGCTGCCCACAAGATATATGATGTCCCCTCAAATGTCCTGGTCTCCAGTTCACAATCCTCTTCAACTTCTATGGCCAAAACCTACATTCACTTTAGAGCCCAAACATTCCCTTAAGCTGACATTCCAATGAAAATACAACCTCAGTTACACACAGGGATGGCCATAACTTTGATCCCAACATCACCCAGAAATGTTCTAACTCCATGATCCAGAACTTTGAAACTCCTCTCTCTAATATTAACCTCCCATCCTTCCATTTCTCCTTTTGCCTTTCTCCTAAAGATAGGTTTTATTCTTACTGAAGCCAAGTCACTCTACTCCTCACAGCTCTCCCAGTCCATCAGTACTGCTGGTCTCGTTTTCCTCTCTTCACAGTCTTGTTCCTATTACTAATTAGTTCACCTATACACATTCTTCTACCCTTGAATCTCTAGCCTCTATATCCTATTGCAATTCACACTTTACCAATCCCCAACCCTGGGTTTACTTCCACTATCTCTTGCTTTCTTCACTCTAACTCATGATATTTGGAATATGAGTGAGGAAGGACACAGTGACAGGGTCCATTACAAATTGATGTGATCCTGTCTCAACTGGGTCCTCATCACTTCAACATTATCCTTTTATTTTGCTATAGCTGACTGTCAATCACACCCCCAGTAGCAGTTATTTCAAACCTTCCCTTCTCTCCTCAAGCCTCCTATTCTACCTTTCCTCACAGCAGAGGACCTTGCCTCCCACTTAAAAAAACCCCATGAAACCACCCATCATGAGCTCTCTCTTCTCCCATATTTTATACCTCAAAATTCCTCTGAATGTCCCCTATTCATTCCTCATTTTCTCTAGTCTCCGAGGAAGAGGTGGTCCTTCTCCATGCCAGGACTCTCCATTCTACTTGTGCCCTTGGCCCCATTCCTGTCCATCTACATAGCACAATGTAGTAGAAAGAGAGCTGGATTTGGATTCCTAGGACCTAGGTTCAAATCCTGGGTCTGCCACATAATGCCTGTGTGATCTTGTGAAGGTTACTTGCCAAAGTTAATCTCTTTGGGCCTCAGTTTTCTTATCTATAAAATAAGGAAGTTGGACTAGATGATCACTGGTTTTTCAACTCTAAATCTCTGATCTACTAATCTACTAAAGATGGCTCCCCTCATCATAATGCCCTTACCTCTTGCTCATTTTTAGTCTACCGGCTCCTTCCATTTTCCTACAAACCTGCCCAGGTTCCTTTTATCCTTAAGAAGTCTTACTTGACCTTGCCATCCTCTTCACCTATTGTCTTATATTTTCTTCCTTTCAGAACCAAAATCTTAGAAAAAGCCATCAGTACTCATTGTCTCCTCTTCCTCACTTCTCCCTTTTCAATGCCTTACAACTTGGTTTCCTATCCTGCCTCTCAGATTGAAACTGCTGTCTCCTCATCTTTATTCTGGTGGTCTTTTCTCAATCCTCATCCTTCTGGACCTTTTTGCAGCATTTGATACTGCTGCCCACGCTCTACTCTTAGACACTCTCACCTCCATTAGTCTTACTGATCTCTCCTATTTCTGTTTCAGCCTGTCTCATCATTCCAGTATTTCATTCCATCATTTCAGTATTCTTTGGTGTATCATCATTTTTATCTCTTTTTGTTTCTCAAATTTCTACATCTAAGCCTAGTCTCTAATCTGAGTACTAGTACCATATCTCTACCCAGATGTGTTCTGGGCATTTCAAAGTCTGCACGTCCAAAACGAAACTGATCATGTTTCTCCATATAGTCATTTCTCTGAATTTCATGTTTCTTCAAGTCATCTAGGTTCACAATCTCAAACATCCTTAAATCTTCTCTCTCCCTTAACTCTCACATCCAATCACTTCTCAAGTTTTATTGATTCTACTTCCGCAGCACATTTCGCATTTGTGGCTAAGTGACACAGTGGATAAAGGTGAACCTAGAGTCAGGAAGACCTAAATTCAAATCCAACTTTAATCGCTTACCAGCTGTGTAACCTTAGGCAAGTCACATCCTTTGTCTTCCTCAGTTTCCTCAAATGGGGATAATAATAACACTTACCTCTTAGGGTTGTTGTGAGGTTAAAATGAGATAATATTTGTAAAGCACTTTGTAAACATTGAAGTACTATATAAATGCTAAATTAATAATCATTAATTATTTTAAGACTAAATTATTAATATAGTCATTAATTATAATAATGAATTATTTTACTAATAATAATTATTATCTTTACTCACATGACTAACACAATAGTCTAGACTGTCATCAATTCTTACCTGTGCTATTTCCTAGTCTCCTAATTGATATTCTAGTTTCCAGTCTTTTCCTTTTCCAATCTCTCCTTTATAGGGCAATCAATCAATCAACAAATATTTATTAAATATGTACTTTCTAGGCACTGGGGATGTAAATTTAAAGAATGAAACAACTCCTATTGTCATGGAGTTTACATTCTAACATGGGAGACTGGTCCTTATAGTTGTATGGATAGAATAATTGTGGAGAGAATAAATGCTAATAAGTACAAATTAGCTAAATACAAGGTAGTTTGAGAAGGGGAGCTCACTACTAGTTGGGGGAATGAGGAAAAGCTTCATATAGAAGGTGGTGCTTGAGCTGCGTCTTGAGATAAGAGAAAGATTCTATGAGGTAGAGGTGAGCTGGGAATACATTCCGGTTCGAGGGGATGGCCAATGTAAAGACATGGAGACAGCAGATAGTATGTTATGTGTGAGGTACACAGAGAAGGCCCTTTTTGCTGGATTAAAGGGTGCAAAAGAGAGAGTAATGGACAATGAAACAGGAAAGATAGGTTAGGGAACAGTTTAGCCTAAAGAGCTGAACAGAAATGTTTATAGAGGTAATAGGGAGCCACGGACGTTTACTGAGTAGGGGAACGATGTGATCAGATGGGTGCTGAAAGATCACTTTGGCTTCAGTGTGGAATTACAGGATCCTAGATTTAGATATGGAAGGTTCTGCAGGAATCATCTAGTCCTACTGTCTTATGTTACAAAGGATGAAACAGACCTAGAAAACATGAGTGACTCGCCCTGATTAAACAAGTAGTCAGTAGCAGAGCTGGGCTTTGAACCAAGGTTCTCCGACAACAAATCTTGTGCTCTTCCCATTGTGCCACATGTTTCCTCCACACCTGCCAAAATCATCTTCCTGAGGCACAAGTCTGCCCATGTCCCTCCCCTGTCTGAAAGTCTTCACCAAATCTTTCTTGCCTCTAGGATAAAATACAATCTCCTCATTCAGAATGCTTGGGTACTATGTTAGTTTCCATATTGACCCAATCATTGTTTTCCACATATCTGCCCCAGGGCCAGTCTCCCTGGCTCTGTTTTCTGACATGAAATACTAATTACACTTAGGTCCTATTAGCATTTCAGGGTATTAGGCTAGTTCTGTCTCATTCCATCAGGAAGTTCCACATGTAGGGCTTAAGGGTATAGAAGAAGTCTCTTATTTTTATTTCAAATGATGAATTTTTTTCTGTTTAAAGACACATTATTTACAAGATCAGTGGGAGAACTAGTCCTAAAAGAACGAACCTCAAATTTTAATCTTGCTTGTTCAGTCCAACAAGTACTTATTAAGCACCTACTATGTGCCAGGCACTGGGCATACAAGGTTAAAAATGAACAGTCCCTCCCCGTAAGCTTACATTCTAATGAAAACTTAATGATAGTTCTCCCTTTGTCCTTGTCTCTAACAACCACAAAGTCTTAACACAAATGCTATTAATATTAATAACAATATAATAATATTATTAGGTAACAATATGACATTTACTCTGTGCCACTTACCACTGTGCTAAGTGCTTTACAATTATTATCTCATTTGATCTTTACAACAACCCTGGGAGATAGGTGCTATTATTCCCATTTTACAAGTGAAGAAACTGAGGCAAAAAGGAGTTAAGTGATTTGCACAGGGTCACAAAGCTAATAAGTGTCTGAGGAAGAGTTTAAGTTTAGGTCTTCATCACTCCAGGCGCAGTACTCTCTCCTCTGTGCCACCAAGCTGCTCCATACCACCTACCTGCCTCAAATATCCTGATATACTTTGGATTCTTTTATGCAATCCTGAGAGACATACTTGTACAGTGGAAAGACAGCTGCCTCTGAAAGGCAGAAATCCCTCTTTTGACTACCTATATGACCATGGGAAGTTGTTTAACTTCTCTAAGTCTCAGTTTCTACATCTACAAAATGGGAAAACTGGGAGATTAGATAGTCCTTTAGGTTCCTTCCGATTCATCCTATGATGAATTCTTCATTGTATAAATGTATTTCACTTTCCCTAACCTCTCCCATCCCCTTTCCCTAGCTGGGTGTTTTTCATAGATTTGGCTATAGCTGCCTTTCCAGGAGCTCTTTGTTCAGGCCCAAATGAGGGTTTCTGTCATTCCTCAGACTCAATTTCTTGGCTGCTAAATGGGAGACACCCTCTCAAAACCTGGGAAATTTGTACCTTAGTTCAGCTATGGGAGCTGGCCTTTTGGTGCTCAGACATGCATTTTCCATTTTTCCAGAGTAATAAAGTACATTATACCAACTACCCCAAAGTCATTAAGAGTTAAATTCCAGGGGAAAATGATTAAACATAAACTTAAAATTAAAGATTTCCCAGCATAATATCCCTCACTGTAAAAACCAGTTTTACAATAGAAATTATTATTTTCTACTTACAGAATTTTGGCTTTTTACTCTTTTTTGTGACTTCTTTAGTTCCAGAGGTTCCAATCAGCAACAATACTAGATAGAGTAAGTACAGAAAAAGCTAATTAGCATCATTCAAATAAATACTATTTCTAATCACACAATTTTAGAGCTAGAAGGGACCTTAAAGGTCACCTAGTCTAACCTGTAAATGAAAAAGTGTCCCTTCTGCAATGTCCCTCACAATGTCCAACCTCTCTTTAAAGACCTCTCCTGATTGAAGACTCATTACCACCTAGTAACGTTCTTTGATTTTTGAATAGTTATAATTGTTAGGAAATGTTCTCACTTTGGCCTCAATCCTGTCTCTGCAACTTTCACCTATTGTTTCCAGTTTCATCTTGTAGGACCAAGCAGTGCAAATCAAATCTTTTTCACATGTGACAATCCATGAAATGCTTGAAGAGAGATGTCATATCCCCATTGTCTTCTTTTGTTAAGGCTAAATATTACCATTTTCTTCAACCAAGTATATATGAAGGGAGGATAAGTCAAAAACTCTTTGAGATGCATGAATCTTTTCATGAGGCAGAAGCAGCCAGGGACTGATTCTGCAATAAACCATTATGATAACAAACCAAATTTCCAAGTTATAGTTCTCAAAAATTTTATTCCCTAAAGATACACCTTTGATTCACATCCTTCTGATGAACCTAACAAAACAACATTTTAAATGATACTAGAGTAATGGGATTTGGTGCAAGGCCAGATCACCTGAGACAGAAATTCCAGGGACCTATTTCTGGGAGATAAGGAGGTCTGATGCATACATGAACCTCCTGCAGTGGTCTACCACATGACTGGGAGCAGCCTTTTTCCATTGACAGTGCAGCCAGAACAGTCTGTATCTTTCAATCTACCCAACTATTCACATTTGCTCCCTCACTGTGGCATTGTCCAGGGGCAAAGGACTCCTTCACTCACAGAAGCCGATACAATGTTGTAGCAGGGAGGGAGGAATTGACTATCTTCTCTTTGGCTACATAGTCCCAAGAAACAGGCTGCTAGTTCTGGTCTGTTTTTTTTTGTCCTTTTCAATTCTTGGTGCAGAGAATGGGGTCCTGGACCTGGGAATTTAATCCATGGGACTCTTGCAGACCAGAATTACAGGATGGGTAGTGCAGCCAGACTAGGGAAGCCCTGAAGAGCCAGGGCTCTGGGAAGGTGGAGAGGGCAGGTTTGGACTCGAACTTAGTGGAACTCATGCTGTATAGGACCCAAATTAAGCTGTAGGCTTAATCCACTTTCCATCCCCAGAGACTAATGTGGTCTGTGTGTGGGGGATGGATGGGAAAGAAGGAAAGAGGGGGACACATTATGACAAGGTGTTGGTGGGAAATGTTCCTACGCTTTTCTTATTATCTCTTTGAAATAACCTTAGAGGGGTGAAGGCGCAGGCAGCTAGAGGGATCAATAAAGCCTCACTACAGAAGACTGGATTAAAGCTGAACCTTGAAGAAAGCCAAAGAAACTTAGGGGTAAAGAGAAGAGCATGAGACTTTGGCAAGTACTTTGCTGAAACACAGATGAACTATATCCACAGAATTCCCCTGGAATTCCTGGGAGTAAGAAAGACCTGAGTTCAAATATGACCTCAGTTACTTACTAGTTGTATGTCCCTGGGCAAGGCTGTTATAAGGATCAAATGCTATGATAATTGTAACGTGCTTAACACAGTGCCTGGCACATAGTAGGTACCATATAAATGTTAGCTCTTATTTATTAGCTATGCCAAAAAGAAATAGAGTTCAGTCTTGTATGATCTGTTCTTGAAGAAGACATGGTGACCCTCAGTGATCATTACTTCCATTCCTTAAGTCCCCATAAATATAAACATTTAATAATGTTCTAGAATTTTGTCTGGATCTTATCTAGGTTTACTATCATCTCTATGTAGATGACTATAAAATCTATGTTCAATTCAACTTAAACATTTATTATTTATCTAGTCTTTGAAAAAACACATTTCTTTTGCTTAATCTTTTCTTCCAAGCTCTAGGCATTTAAAAATTGAATTGACTTCGTCAGAGAGGTAGCGTCATGAAAGTGCTACATTATAGAAGCCAGGGTTAAATTGATAATCAATAAGGAAGTGGTTAAGAGTGTCAAATAGTGAAGAGAGTTCAAGAAGGGATGAATGCTTAAGGGAATGGAGGAATGGGAATGGACCTAGGTACTAGAGATTAAGATGAGGATGAAAACAAAATGGATAGATTGTGTGTGTACATGTGTGGATGCATGCATGCATGTGCACATATAGGCACATATATGTACATATAACTACATATGTATTGTATGTGCATATATGTGTACATATACACAATGCATACATATACATTGTGTTATTTTTTTTTTTTTGATATATTTCATTTTCCTCCAATTACATGTTAAAATAATTTTGTAAACATTTTTAAAAAGTATTGAGTTTCAAATTCTGTCCCTTCTTCCCTCCTCTCCTCCCCCTTTCCTGAGATGGTAAGCAATCTGATACAGTTTATACATGTGCAATCATGTAAAACATTTCCTGTTAGTCATTTTGTACAAGAAGACTTGAATTAGAAAGAAAGAGAAAAATGTCATGCTTCAGTCTGTATTCAGGCAGTATCAGTTCTTTCTCAGGAGGTGGATAGCATGCTTCATCATGAGTCCTTTGGTATTGTCTTAGATCATTGTATTGCTGAGAATAGCTAAGTTGTTTACAATTCTTCATTGTGTAATATTGTTGTTACTGTGTACACTGTTCTCCTGGTTCTGCTCACTTCACTTTGCATAGTTCATATAAGTGTTCCCAGGTTTTTCTGAAATCATCCTGCTTGTCATTTCTTATAACACAATAATATTCCATTACAATCATATACTGTTCAGCCATTCCCCAACTGCTGGGCATCCTCTCTATTTCCAATTCTCAGCCACCACAAAAAAAAATAAAATAAAAGCTGCTATAAATATTTTGTACAAATAGGTCCTTTTCCCTTTTTAAAAAATGTCTTTGGGATATTGATCTAGCAGGGGTATTGCTGGACCAAAGGGAATGCATAGTTTTATAGCTCTTTGGGCATAGTTCCATACATACATATTCTTGATCCCAGCATTCAGGAACCTCCACTGTCTGGTTCCAACCAACCTCTTGAATTTTATATCATAATATTCCCTTCCATAAACTCTCTTTTCTAGCCAAATAAAAATACTCCAGTTCTCTTTTTTATCCTGTGCTAGCCAGTCTCTATGCCTTTGCTCACACCACCCCCCATGCCTGGGATAAATAGTCTTTTCTTCCCTCCATCTCCAGCTATGGAAGACTATATTTCAAATCTCAACTCAAGTGCCAAGACACCCCTCCTGACTTCACTTGCCTCTTCTCCTCTGGATGAAAGTGATACCTGCCTTTCTCAAACAGCACTTTATCTGGACCTCTCCTTTGCCCTTATCTTATTTTCCCTTGTAAAATTGTGATTTGTGAGTCATATGTTTTACATCAGATTATTAAATTATAGATTTAGAGCCAAGACGGACCTTGTGGGCCATATAGTTCAATATCTTTCTTTTAGAGATGAGGAAACTGTGGCCCAAAGAGGTTCAATGACTTGCCCATGGTCACACATAAGTTAGAGCAACATCTGTGTTAGATCTTTTTTTTTTTTTAATCCTCAAGGTCTAGTGCACGGTAGGCATTTAATATTTAGTGCATTAAATTAAATGAGTGCCATATATCTAGGATTCTAGAGTGTATTTTAAATGAAACAAGAACTAAATGAATATATCTAAAAAAAATTTTGTAAGGAGCTGACCACGTGAAATTATACCAGAGGTTGGGGAAAAATCAGTTGCCATCCTTGTGGTCACTGAAAAAACTATCAATCTGGTTCTGTGAACACTCCTGTTGCCTGTGGTTTCTATGTCTTGCTATCATTAGGACTGAAAGTGCTTTCATTAAGATCCTCTGCCCCCCAGGATCACTCATATTTTGTCACAGAAATTCCTCCAGGTTGAAAATGCTCATGGTTGGGTTCAGTTTAACAGTAGTGGTAAGTTGGGTTGTTATTTTTGGTGGGATACTGGCTCTGACTTCAGCAGCCCAGGCTTATTAATTAAAGCCTCTTTTGAAACCACTCTTCAGGCGGCTAGCTGACCAGGGAAGGCCTCCTAATGTGCTCATGCCCTAGAGCAAATCTTTCTTCATCCTTCCTCTGTAAGAGCTCTCTTGCTAAATTGGAGATGGTGAATTGCGTGTGGAGTTTGGATGAAAGGAAATCGGCCTAATTTTTCCTTTTCTAAGAGGCCCAGCTGAGCCTGTGCAGCAGTGACAGAGTTGCCAGTGTTTAATGGAAGGTTCAAAGCGGGTGACCCATCTGAAAGCAATCTCCTCACTACTGATGATGGAGAGGTGTGCGTGCATGCGTGCGCGCGTGTGTGTGTGTGTGTGTGTGTGTGTGTGTGTGTGTGTGTGTGCCTCCGAATCACAGAAGCATTATTTGGCCACTCTGGCTAGAAAGCCTAGAGAAATGTAATGGAAAATAAATATATCTAGGATGGTTTAACAAAATTTTAAGAACTGGACATATTGAGCTATTAGAACTATAAGCAGCAAAGAGGGACTCTGTTGTTTATTTTCTGAAATCATTGTCTAACAGAGGAAAAAGGACTTAATGGTTTATGTTTATAACCAAAGATTTGGTGTTGTGAGGCAGCATGGTATGGAGAAAAGAGTGCTGGATTCTGAGATACAAGACCTTGGTCCTGCCACTTACCACTTGTGTGACCTTAGGTGAACCACTTACCATCTCAAGCCTTAGTTTCCTCATCTATAAAATGAAAGATTTGAACTGAATGAAATCTAGATGTTCCTTCTAGCCCTAAATTTATGATTTTAAATAAATTATAACTATGATCCATAATATATTAAAGTGGAGATAATGACAAATGTCTTTAATAAACAATATGGCTCAATAGTGTGATATGGCTGCTGAAAGATTTGATTTGACCTTTGTTTACATTTGTCCTTGGGCTCTGGAATAAGGAAGTGATAATCCTATTCT